GAGATGAAATCGAGCAGCTTACAACGGAGACTTTAGAAAATGTCATGGACAATTTCCAAACAAGATTGGGTCTCTACGAAGCGGCCAATGGTGGGAACCTCAAATAAATAATTCTCCATTGTTGAATTACCGTACAAATGTGCACGAAATAAATTGTTTTTTTTTTTCATTTGAATTTTTTGTTTTCAATGAACCGTTCAAAAGTAATTCCCAAAAGAAATGGGGTGATGAATATTGGCCCACTCTATACAAGGGCCAGTCAAATTAAAGCGAGCCAGGGTGCTCTGGATGCATACTGTGACACATATATGGACATACGCCCTGCAGGCGTTGAGGCACTTCTCCCATTGTGTCACAAGTCGCTGCAGGGTGTCCTACAACGTCTGTAGCAGCTACTGTAGAATATCTCGTCACCTCGTCGTCCGAGAGGAAATGTCTGCCTTTCAGGTCCCGTTTCAGTGCCCCGAAGATCTGGAAATCGCAGGGCAATAAATCGGGACTATATGTCGGATGCTGTAGCACCTCCCAGCCGAATGTGGACAGCGTGTCCATGTTACTCTGAACTGTGTGTGGTCGGGTGTTGTCGTGGAGGATGATGACTCCATCGCTGAGGAGGTCCGGGCGCTTGTTCTTCATCGCGCTGCGCAAACGGGTCAGTGTCTGGTAGTAACGTTCGGCGTTGACTGTGTCCATGTGCCAGGAACTCAACGAGCAATGGACGATATACACTCGATTTATCGCCGGGCCATTTCCAGATCTGGAAACGGGACCTGAAATCAGGCGTTTCCTCTCGGACGACGAGGTGAAGGAAGCAGTTAGGGATATTCTGCAGCAGCTGCTACAGACGTTGTAGGAGGAAACCTTGCAGCGGCTTGTGACACAATGGGAGAAGTGCCTCAACGCCGGCGGGGCGTATGTCCATATATGTGTCACAGTATGCATCCAGAGCACCCTGGTCCACTTTCATTTGACTGGCCCTTGTACTTCTCTTGACGGTGTCATCTCCGAAATTCCCCAGTTTCGGCGGTTCCCTGAGGAAATTCATGCGTCTACTCAAATCTGCTTTTGAAAAGTGTATTCATCTGTTTCATAACCCCAAGAGAATAAAATTTTTTTATTTTCTTCGGGTGACTGTTCAAAAAGGCCACGGAGGAGACTCAAATATTTTTTCCGTAAAACGCTTAAAGAGAAATATGCGAAGGGGATATGTTAAGAGGGGAGGTGATTGCGATCGAGAGAAGGCGCGGAAGTACCTATTCGTTCAAGGCGACAAGCTACGAATACAAGGTATTCTAACGACAGAAAAACCTATCGTGGGAACATCATAGGCTTTTAAGCTTATTGCCGGTAGATTGACTACCGACGATACGTATTGCACCACCAACACACGAAACCAAATACAAACACCAAATGAAACCATAGAGTAGAGAGTGTAACTAGAGGCGACACTGGGGGGTGGGGGTCGAAACATTCCAGAGAGATCTGGTGGCTTTTTATCAACGACACTTCCATGAGGCGTGCTTCGTGGCAGCGGAATCGGAAATCAACTCATTGGGGATTCGGCCTAAAGGGAGTCCTCAACGTAATACGCGTGTCTTCGCTGCTCGGCCATGGAGGAGTTGTTAATGTATGCACGCTGAGTGGAGGATCGACAGCGACATCTACATTGCGACCCTGTCGAATAGGAATCGAGCAGAGTGTCGCCTCTAGTTACACTCTCTACGCTATGATGAAACTGGAGTCGAAAAATGTCGGTATCGATGAGATTAGAATCCCTTCGAGACCCACGAGCTACTCGCACGGGCCGGAGGGAAGGTGAGAGGGCGAACAGGCTATGCATTTTCTAGCTTGCGTTTCAACCCCTCAACAGCGAATGCAGTGCGCTGAGGGTTTATGAAGGGACCCTTCTTCGATACGATCGAACGGAAGACGGAGGTTGACATGCGTCTAACTAGAGTCTAGACCAGTGATGCACAACTCGCGGCCCGCTGAGACCTTTTTGTAGCCCCTTGGATGCCTCCGGTCTCTAAAGATCCATATTTATATGCGGCCTATTTCGGCTCAGGTTTGAGGGGCTTGATTAAGCTAGCGGCCGCATGGAACCCTTCCGGAGCGGTTGGGTCCACATGAGCAAATCTTACACAATTGCTAACATGTTGAAAAAGTCTATACTTTTCCAAAACCAACTGTTGAAGAGGACTTTGCAAGTCAGACGAAATCAAGTAGCGGGCCGGCAGTTTGACACCCCTGGCTTAGACCGACTTGAAGTTCGTGGAAGTCTTCCACAGTTCATTCTCGAGAACGGGATAGAGGGACTGCTGCTTATATCGTCAAGAGGGCCGCAGAGTTTTCGGGCTGCTGACAGAGCTCGGGAATTCCCGAGAAACAGTTTATGGAAGACTTCCCGCGGATTGGAGTGCCCGGCTCACGCTCTCGAGTTCGCATGTTCTCTCCGGCCTTAGCGACTGTCGATTCCGTTCTTGAGAATGGGAAAGAGAGTCACTGTACGCCTTGCGCAAACCCCCTCAACTAAGGGATGTTCACAATTCGATATGAACTTTCACGCGGGAAAACCCACGTACAACACTTGGAGTCCCGTGTTCCTCCGCACTGAGAGTAACTCCCGAGTGTGAAAGCGGCGGGATCCCATCTGGGTGGGATAGAACAGAAAGGTTTATCCTTTGATCGCAAAGATGCCACCGGTCGTGTCGTAACCATCCCGTTTCCATATCCGTGTATTTCACTTATAAGCTTCCATGAAAAGTGTTGGAGATGGACTTTACGGACGAAGCGGACTGGGTTGTGATCGATAGGAAAAAGTGCCGATCAATAAAATGATCGGGATTCCGATAAATGTAAAGGCGACGATCTCACCCTGGCGAGGAAATCATGATGAAACGGGATGAAGCGGGATGAAACGGGACTCCAAGGCTTATACGTGGGGACGTGTAAAGATTGGGAGAGAGGGTCTGCTGCCTATAGCGATGTGAGGGTCACTGAGTTTTAGGCCGCGAATGAACCAGGGAGTTTTTGTCCTAGAGTTCGTGGAAGTTTTCCACGGGTCGGCTAGTCCTCGATTAAAATTCCATCCACGCCACCAAAAAGGAAGAGGGGCAGAGAGGATAAACCGATCCGTTACCCTCTTTATTGCAGCTAAGTGTACGACTCACTAGTGACTTCGTTCCGTCGACGATTGACGCCGAGGGAGCTGCAACGCGTGATAATCCACCTCCCCTTCACCACTGCATATCCTGAACGTCCCACAACACGAGATGGGATAGCACCGCGCTCGGGGTCTCCCTTTCTAAACACGCCCGGTAGCGCGAGGAAAAAAAAAAAAACAACTCTGCCGGTTTGAAACGTCATTCTTCCGACACGAGAGTCGAGCGAGAGACCAACCGATCCACGCATTAACAGTAAAAACAACTCTAGCTCCCTTAGCTTTAGTAGCTTCGCTCGGATCCGGGCCCGAGAGGAGTTTCCGGACGAACAAACCGCGGTATCGTACAGATCTGCTTTTCGTAGAATTTATTACGAACAGCCCTCACTGGTGAACCTGTAGGTACCAGCAACGAAGTTTCTTCAGTTCGCTTTCGGCGACATCCATCCCGTTACCTGACTCACCCATCATTTTCAAAGCCGCTCATCTAAACTCGACGAAGCGTTTTGCCCTCGAGGCTTCGGAGCGTCCTCGGGTCTTCCCGACCCCAAGCGACGGACTCAGCAGGTGAAATACCGAGCCTCCAGTGCATGCGCTTCGCGATACGATCCGTCCACCTTGCACGAAGCCTACCGACTGGTTTTCTGCCGGTGGTTTTGGACCGACCATGGGTATGGGGGCATGTCGGAACCGACGAACTTCAGATCTCTCTACCCGAATGCGAAGCTTCGAGACGTGGAGATTCCCACACTCGGCACTCGCACTGCATCCTTTCACTCGGCGTAAGACCGGCCACACGCCACAAGAACCTCGTCGAGGCAGCTCGTATCTGTGATCTGGTTCTTTCGGTCGTTACCGAAAGTTCATGGCCGTCGGTGAAGATGGAAGAAATTTGACATTTCCAAGTACTTCTACATGTACTTGGAAATGTCAAATTTGTCAACCCCAGTTCGCCAGAGTTCCCGAAACTCCGGAAACCTGGAGGTGCTACTGCGGGTCTCGTCGCCCTATCGCTCGTCACTCGAGAACCAGACACCAAGGTACTTAAAACTTCTCCATCTGTTCCAGTGGGCCAATCCCCCCCCTTCATCATGAGCAGGACTTCTCGAGAGGGCCATAACCTACGTTTTGGGAACGCTCAATATTATTCTGGTTGCAGAATGCTTCGAGTCGAATCGATCGAGCACACCCAGAAGCTCCTGTCGAGACCGGGCCAATATGACGGCATCATCGGCAAAGTGAAGTGTATCTTTGCCTCGATACCACCGATGCTGCCCCCTCGAGGCCCAGGCCACGCCTATGATACAGATCCCATCCATGTACACGAGGAGCAGGAAAGGATGAGTGAATGCAACCCCGACGGAGTCCAACTCGTACCGAGAAGGAATTCGAGCTCATCCTGTTCACCAGAACACAACTCCCGCAATTATCCAGGGGTGTCCAACTAGCGGCCCGCGGCCCGCATCCGTGCCGCCATTTCATTTTCTCCGGCCCGTGAATTCCTCTTCAACAGTTGATTTCGGAAATTTGCAGCAAATTTCCCTTGTTCGCATTAAAATATGGTGCGAGATTCGTCGGACCGCGTCGTGCTACATCTAGACATATCGGTAGGCTTGCCATCCGTCATGGAGTTTCATTAGCACAATGTCCAGGGGGCACACCAGGGCAGAACCAAGGATTTAACCGCCGACTTTCGACTTGGAACTTACCTGTTCACATTCTCGAAATTTATGATACGAAATGAGCACTTCCCAATTGCCCTCTATATATGAAAATATATTATGACCTTTTGCTCATCTTTGTGAATCGTTTTGCCAACAGTAAAACCAAAGGTGAATCATATGCTATAGGCTGTGCCTTTAGGTATAACTTTATTCAGGCAATCCAATGTCCATATATCAAATATCAAATAGATATTTTATTCGGCAAAGGGGTTCAGCTCATCATCATAATCATCGTCATCATCTGAAAAGGGATTCTTGTTACTTTTTTCTTTCTCTTTCTCCTCTGCATCCTCAGCAAAGGGATTGTAATGGTTCTCCTCAGCAAATGGGTTATAATGGTGATCCTTTTGAGGATGAGGTTCAGCAGTTGCCTCCAATGTCCTTGGGCGAGTGGCAGGCACCTGATTCCTCATGGGTTTCCCTTCACGAACTCGCAGGCTCCCTTCACCTCCCATCAAAGAGAGTCCAGATCCAGCTGCAGCTGAACTTCTTCCTTCTTGTCCTCTCAATCTCCCCTCTGATTGACGAGAAACAGAAGCAGCTCTCTCTTCTTGTTGATCCCTCATGGCTTTCCCTTCACGCACTCGTAGGATCCCTTCGCCTCCCAACAAAGAGAGGCCAGATCCAGCTGCAGCTAGACTCCTTCCTTCTTGTCCTCTCATTCTTCCCTCAGTTTGCTGAGAAACTGAAGTCACTCTCTCATCTTGTCTCAAGCGACCTTCTCCTGCTGCAACACAGTCATTAAGTATTGAAACCTTCATCTGGACCTTCATCACATCCTTAGACTTTCATTTATCAAACAGCAGTAACAACAAAAGTTTCAGAATTCTTCCTAGATAGTTAAAAAATTCACTTGCACAGGAGACACAATAGTATTGCATAAGGTCACGTTGAAAGAAATGAAGGAAACAATATTTCAGGCTACAAGAATATTAAATGAAATATGATGGTGGACAAAATTAAGGTAACAATCACAAAAACCAGAATAACGTTTTTATTCTATGAGGTATATAAATGAAAATTTGTACAGAGATACAATTTATCATTACCGATACGTGTATAAAAAAGGAGAAACTTTGAACTGGTAATAACAGATTAATGATAATTACATCATGAAAAGAAAACTTACATGTTCTAACAGACATGCTTAGAAGTCAATAGCCATCGCCTTTTATAGGCTTCATTAATTTGCATGTTGCAAAGTATGGAGATCAGTTTAGATTGGATATTCAGAATCTGCATGTAAAATTACAAATAGTAATGTATTTTCACCATCTAATTTACTATTGCAATTAAAATATTGATGAAAACGGTATTACCTTAATTTTGTCCACCAGTGCAAGTATCCCCTGGCCAGGAATTTGCTTCTGAGTCTGGTGGACTCCAGTGCCAGTTCACAAAGCAAACATAGAAAAGTTACTTACTAAATCAGTTGATGGAACAAAAGAGCACATCAGAACTTACAAAAGCCCACAGTGTATATGTAAGATTAGTAAGTTTCAACATAGGTACAACATACTCTGAACTTGAGGAAGAGAGAAGATAGTAAGAATTAATTTACCAATATTTCAGGCTTGGTCATGTGTTATAATTTGGTTATACAGGGTGTTCCAGAAGCAACACCTTCCATTTGGTATTTCTTTACTTTGATGCAAATGTAGCTGAATCATAAGGAGTTCAGAAAGTAACTGCACTGAATGAAAATGGTATACCTCCAGAAAAAATTGACAATTACTAAGAAATTTGAGATTATAACTCAAGACAACATTAAATTCCCTGAAATATTTTTGAATAGGACTATTGGCTGTGGGGTTTCCTAGAAAGTAAGGTGCACTATGACTGCTCATGTAATCTGGTTGCCCTAAAGCATGTCACTGTAAGGGAAGTTGCTACCTTTCTGCCTGCCATGTACTGAGCAGTTAGAAATCTATAAGTAATATGCACCTCACATATAAACTGGGTGTTTGTACTTAAATACAACATAAGGAATGCTTCACTGCCTGTTTGTGGAGTTAGGTGAATGCCAGTGGGTTAACCTTGTTGCATCACTTTAAGGATATGCACTATCACATTGAAACATCAAATTAATGAGCCAATTACTGCACAATGAGTTACAAAGTTGAAAGGAAGGCAGAGCATAACTGAGACTTCTCTCCTGTTCACTGCAATGCAATGAGTCAAGAAGTGTTTGTGCTCATCATTTCTATCAACTTTCAATTTGGAGTGTATTCATTTGAGCTCATTTATTTCATGGTTCAATGTGATTGTCAATATCCTAAAAAAGCTTTGCAGCTAGGTGAGCCATGTGGCACTCACTGAGCTCCATATTCAGGTGGCTGAATGTTCCAGATTTTGTAATATATAAACACCCTGTTCTTTTTTTTTTCCATGAACTATTGAACATGCCCATAGTGTTATGAGTCAGTATAGGAACATGAGGATGAGAAAGCAGTGGGAACTATCCTGAAGCTCTGAAACCAGTTCAGGATCACCCAGAAACTGCCAGCTGGAACAAGACTGAATTTACAACTGTAATCCAGCTGCTTTCATAGCTGAACTTCAGCATGAAACCATCATCAGTCCAAAAAAGATACTCCAGATGAAAACCAGTCTGGGTTCAGTTTCACTTTCCAAGTTTTATAGCTGGAACATGTCTGAATGTAAAACTATGGTCCAAAACATAGCTAGTATGTTAACACCCAATCTCAGGCTGAGTCAAGAAAAATTCCTCTTTTTATAAAGTGATGAAACCATGAACACAAGGATAACAAGGACAGGACCAAAGCTGCTACCTCCCTCACTGTTCCACTGGTATTCCACCTGTTTTATTCTATTCTGTTCCAGCAGTTAAGTCCAGATCCATGATGTGCCCACATGCTTGGCAGCAAGGATTAAATCTTGCTCATCTCTCTTTCTGTGTTTATTGCAAGGTAAATATGAGACTAGGCAAAAAAAAAGGTTCCAACAGAACTTGGTACTTAGAGGCTATCTCATACTGCATTCAGTGCATGATTTTATGGATGGGAGATGAAAGTATTAAATAAACATATAAACATTTCCAATGAGAGTTACCACAATTATAAGAAAGCCCCAAGCAAGGTCATAGCATGAAATAGTAATAACAAGGCAGAGTCTTGGCAAGGCCAAGAAAGATAGTTTAAAATTCAGGACACTGAATTTTCAATAATTACAAAAAAAAAGTTGCCTTGAACAGCAGAGGTAATGCCAAGCTTCATCTGAGTACATGGTGAGTGCACCTGTGAGGCAAACACTGTGAACTAAGGCCAATATGCTTTTCTTGACATATTCTGAAGGGTCAAATTATCCATGTAACAGGAATAAACTGAGCTACAGTTGAGAAAAAAAAGCAAAGGTTAGATCTGGATGTTAAGAGAAAATCTCTGAAATTAGTCACAATTAGGGAATAGTGTTTGTTCAATTCAACATCCATCCTGTGTTTCAGAAAGGGCACAGTAAGAAGTTCAAATCACTTTTAGAGTTTCCTTTACTAACATTCAGTAACAATAAAGGCTAAAATACTGGGTGTCCCATTTATCGCGGACGATTTTAATTGTGTATAAAATTTTTCCTACTTGAGCAAAATAAACATTTTCACAATATTTAGATGTCTGTTTAGCATTTATTGTGACAAAGTTTCAGCCAAAACAAATTCACCAATTACAAGCTATGAACTTCAACATGACCCCCATCAATTTCAAGGACTTTTTCCAATCATGCCTGATATTCAAGCAGCGTTTTCTGTCACATTTCAACGGTAATGTCTCCAAATGCAGTGGTAATACATTCCTTCAGTTCGGGAATGTCCCTCAGTTTGGTCGCATAGACTTTGGACTTGACAAAGCCCCACATGAAGAAGTCACACGGCATTAAGTCAGGAGAATAGGCAGGCCTGGGCATCGTTGGTGATCCACTACCCATCCATCGATCCGGAAACTTTTTGTTCAGCCAGGCATGAACTTCTTTACCGAAATGAGGCGGGGCACCATCCTGCATGAAGACCAGATCATCAGCCAATCCTTGTGATTCAATTTCTGGTCAGAATTTTTCTTTCAGCATGGTGAGATACTGCTCAGCATCCATGGTCTCGTAAAAAAAGAATGGACCGATCATGCCACCTTCCCATATTGCTGCCCAAGCTGTAGTTTTTGGAGAATGAAGTCGTTCCTCCATAATCCACTTAGGATTATGTGGTGCCCAATACCTATGATTATGACAATTGACATTGCCATCCACGTGAAAATGGGCCTCATCTAAAAATGCTAGCATGAGCACTGGATCCGCTTGAATTCAGTCCAGTTCCTCCCTGGCAAAAGTCACTCGATTGGCTTTGTCTTCTTCCCTCAGTTCCTAAACAAGCTGAACTTTGTAAAGATGAAATTTCAAATCCTGCAGAATTCGGTGAACAGTGGTACGACTCATTTGCAATTCAAGTGCAGCCCGTCGCGTGGATGAATGCGGATCGCATTCAAAATGTTTTTGGACTTACGCGATGTTCTCTCCTGTCATGCTTCTCTGTCTTCATTTCTTCTCAATTGGAAAAAGTGCTTGAAATCGATGGGGGTCATGTTGAAGTCCATAGCTTGCAATTGGTGAATTTGTTTTGGCTGAAACTTTGTCAAAATAAATGCTAAACAGATATCTAAATACTGTAAAAATTTTGTTTAGTTTGCTCAAATAGGAAGAATTTTATACGCTATTAAAATTGTCTGCGATAAATGGGACACCCTGTAGTTTAAAAAATGGATGATAAAAAAACAGTTATTAACATTTTGAAAAATCTGCAACAGGGCAGGCAAAAAAAGCTTTTAAACACAATCTGCAAGGAGCTATTTCATGGTTATATTATGTGACCATTTGTGCCATTACACTTTGAGCATGTATCATTTTGTGACAAAAAAAACAGACTGAATTAGCTTCTGTTGAAGGCACAAATGCTCCTGAGATGCATCTATACAGTATATTGCTCTGTTCCAATTTTCTTCTCAAATTCTTATAAAATATGAGATGTATATTCAGTAACATATTCAATCAGGGAATGTCATTTAGAACTGAAAACAATTGTCATGTTTCTAAACTAGAAAAGAAGATGACAAGTTGCATGAACACTTTCTCCTAAATATTCCTATGAAGATCTGAATCCATCTCAGTCTCACAGTCATCAAGTCCCTCATTTCTGCACTCACTTGTTGATTATTTCATGCTTGAAGCATGGATCTTTCAAATATACATATGAAAGATTTATCTTTTGTTTTGTTACCAAAAGAGATTTTTGTGAAGATCATAAAGGGTTTTGATTTCCCCCCCCCCCCCCCCCCCCAAAAAAAAGTTTTTTTTTTCCCCCCCCCCCCCCCCCCCAACTTGTATAATGCCTGCAGTATGTGGTTACAAGAAAGAAATACAATTCAGTTATCCTTAAGTCACAAATTGAAGATATTACTTGTGAGGACAGGTGATGATAAGGGGAACTCAGCAGCTCGCATCCTTCCTTCACTGACTCCAGTTAACATGGGACTCTGCCGAATGATTGATTTTATGTTCACTGTTGCAGTCTTACCCTGTCCTGAAAGTGAAAATGAGAAAAAAGTTACTGGAATAGTTGTACAGAATATTCCAGGGATCAGTCAGGATGATGTTGATGTCTCACCAAACATATCAAAACCTAGAGGTTCTTGAAGGGTAGATAAAAGCCCCTTTGAAAAGAAGTCTGCAATGACTTTAAAGTGATCCTCATTGGATGATGCCATACGACGGAAGAATTCCTGGTTTAACACTGAGCCCTGTTGTTCCCACTCAAGAGTCACTGCTTCTTGGATCTTCTCAGTTTTTTGAGCACAAGTGGGACATCCTTGTTCCCCTTCTGAATAGCTCTCAAAGCAGCTGTGTGAAGAAAATAATTAATTCATGACTGCTAGATGTCAACTAGCAACAGTAAGAAATGGAAAGTGAGAACAAACTGTTGGTGAAAGGAATGCTTGCAGAGGAAATGGATTGATGGCAACTCAAGTGGATGGTTGCAAGCATTGCAACGACTTCCTTGAAACACCACAGCCCTACAAGGATGCATTGTACAGCTCATTATGGCAAATCTCAGGTATCCTCCCTCTCTTTTTCTGTTAAAACTATTGTCTGAATTTCATTTATTCTTGCTCTACAGAATTCAGATTAAAAGAGATTGATATTTAGTGTGTGGTCTTGCAGGAAGAACTGGACCTGGAACGGAGAGCCTGACAGTTCTGCTTGACAGAGAGGATGTGATCAGCAAGGCGTCGACTCTCAGTCTCGCTCTCATCTGCCTGGTCCTTCTCAGCACGGAATGCATGCAGTAGATAAGACCTCACCAGACCCAGAGTGGCATGAGGACAGCCTTGTAATGAATCCAACACTTGCAATGGTGTGAGCTCCTTGGATTTCTCAATCTGAGTCAAGATGGTGGACAGGACCTCCTTTGGGGTCTCAGGATCCTGAACCACCTTAGACAGGAGCAATGGCCATAAATGCTCATTTTCTTGAACTCTACATGCTTCCATAGCTCCTTTCCAATCCTTTGTATTCACATGAACATCCAGCATTTCACTCCATCTGGACAAAACATATCCTTCATGCAGTATACACACAACAGACACGTGTACACAAAATGCATGAATGAAGGAATGCAGGAATCTGACAGGTGCAGTTGGCCATAAAGACGGAGAAGTCCTGGTCGGAAGCCATACTGGCTGCAGAGAAGCAGAGCCTGTTCTTTCTCCAATGCTCTTTCCCCTCTCTCCAATGTATCACACACTTGTGCTTCCAAACTCTTGCTTTCCCCTTCTTCTTTCTCTTCACTCCAGAGTCTCAGGAGTTCTTCAAGGAGAGCAGTCCAGAGAATTGAGGATCCCTTATTTTCCTGAAGCATAAAAAGAGAATCCTCTCGCATAATGGAAAATTCCAAATTGGGGGCATAAGAAAATGAACAGAGAAAAGCCTACTTGGGTAACATGTCGAAGGAAGCAGAGACGTTCAGATTGATGACCCTGGAAAAGATGCAGATACTCCTCAGGATGCTTGAGGGCAGGGAGTTGAAGCAAGAGTTCTGTGGTCTCCTTGGCAGCCACATGCATAAGAGCTCCACCATACTCCACCAACACTACCTCCAGCTTCAACACCCAGGTTCAGAGCAATGAGTTGTGCAAATTTACTGGTACCAACACAATACACTATTGATCAGCTCCTTAAATGATGTCATACAGACTTCCAACTCACTTCTTTAGGTGGAAGATTCTGAATATAGTCCAAAGCATCCTTTGCATCACCTATGCCATCACCCAAGAGGATGCCAAGGTGCAGGTGGTGCTTGTTATGCTTCTTGGCAAGTAGCAGGGCATGATATAAGCAGCCAGCACGCCTCAATACTCGTACTGCTGTATCCACATCCTGGATCCCATCTTCACCCTTGAATTAATGTCAGATGAATGACTGCACTCACTACTCATCAAGGCCAAATCCTGTATTATACTTGAAGGCCTAACCTGAACGAAGAAATCAAGCTTCTGAGAATCCCCAAGTTTGGCATAGCAATTGAGAAGCAGAGTAGTGAGTTCTCTATCTGCAATTGAAGAACCACGAGGATTCCGATGGATTGCTTCCAAGTATGTTGTCAATTCTTGGATTCGTGATGTGTCCAGGAACTATAAAGAAGGAATCAGGAGAAGATGGGTTTCCACATTGCTTGCTACAATGATGCTACCATAATTCCAGCATCAGGTAGAGATATGGTAAAATGGGTGGTTTTCGCGCGATGAGGGGGATTTCGCGGAATGCTCATTTCTCGCACGTCCCCCAATGAGAGGCCAATAGTTGACGACAAAGCTATATCCAGTGAGGACACAGGAGATTCCAAGTACGCGCATGTGAAACTTCCACCTGCTTACACTCACGCCTGTCATGGGCAGGGCTGTATGCGCGACAGGCTACTTCCGTTCCTTAAGATACGACCCGTTTCGCAGGAAAATTGAGATCGCTTTGAAACCTGACATGTACTTTTCTATAAGGGATAGAGTAGTGCCCTCATAGGATAATGTTTAAGGAGAACATGACTTCAAAATAAACTAAACAAACACTTATTTCATCCGGTCCTTGTAGAAGAAAGGTGGTGCGCAAAAAACCCCTACAGAAAAATCCTTTTTTGCTATTTTCGCGACCATGCACAAAAACCAAATGTTCATATATGGGGATTTCGCGCTGTTGAAGAATACTATATTCAATTCTTGTTACAGTACAATGAATATATCCTTTGTTGCAAATAGAAGTGACAAAATGAGAAAATTTTCAGCATTTTTTGTTACGAATCTGAAAAATATTCGTTTTCTTTACTTCCTCTCAAATGTACAGCTCAATTACGGAAAGAATGGCTACCCAACCACAATAAAAGTTATATTCCTATGTAATCTTGAGAAAAAAGATAATAATTCGTTTTTTTGCAGTGATATAATTCTTCTCATGAGAAAACTTTTCTCAAATGAATTTTCTTTCGACGTTGCTAGTAGTAATACGCATTAACCCATTGATAAATGGCTAAAGTAAAGATTGCCCAGCCCATAGTCGTTAAACTGGCAAGAATAAAGGAGCAAAGGCGACAGAAGCACCTCAAAGAACAGAGGAAAGGGGACGGAGAAACTATCTCAAGGCAGAACAATGCAATGAGGAGACCATAAGTCTGAAAGGGTAAAAATGGAGAGAGGAAGGTGGAACGACGTTCTCGTAGAAATCAAGAAATGGCTGATTGATTTAAGATGCTACTTCGAAGAGGAAGATGCTCTTAACCTTCTTATTGATGAGGAGGCATCACGTGTCTTCAACTTTGACGAAACAGGGTTTGGGCTACAAGGCAGCAGTGGTCTGTCCTAAGTTTTTTGCAGGAAAGGGATAAAAAAATACAGTCCAAAGGAAAGTTTCTGATGGTAAAAGCACCATTACAGTGCTTATCGGCGCTTGAGCGGATGGATACTTTTTACCACCAATTATAATGGTAAAGGCTCGAAGTTTACCAGATTACAAATGCTAGATTAGGCTGGATTTTGAAACGGATGAGTTTTGAATCTGACGTTCATCGTCTGGATGTATGATAGAACGTGCTATTTTTCCAATGCCCGAGAGACGTTTGCATAAAGTTTACCAGATTACAAATGCTAGATTAGGCTGGATTTTGAAACGGATGAGTTTTGAATCTGACGTTCATCGTCTGGATGTATGATAGAACGTGCTATTTTTCCAATGCACGAGAGACGTTTGCATTCCACACGTGGAAAAAAAGCGTCTGAAAACGCCTGTCTTTTTATATCAGGATGGACACTGGACTCACACTACCATTGAGCTGCGGAAATTCTGCATTAATGAAGATACTAAATTGTACGCGTTGCTCATGCAAGCCACATCCTCCAGCTGCATGAAAGGCACCCTCAGGTTGACTTCACCAAAACAAGCTTTCTGATGGTTTTTCTTTGGGTTTTTGGAGGGAAGTCCGAGAACGAGATCATCTGGCAAATTTAGGCTTCAGAAAGTCTGGACTCACTGAAGATCAGATCAACATTTGTTATTGTGCATGCGACAGTCGTGAGGGCCAATAGCGGGTGATCGCTTCTTCAAAGTCCGAGAACGAGATCATCTGGCAAATTTAGGCTTCAGAAAGTCTGGACTCACTGAAGATCAGATCAACATTTGTTATTGTGTATGCGACAGTCGTGAGGGCCAATAGCGGGTGATCGCTTCTTCAGCTTCAAAACGTATTTCTTCCAGGAACTTAGTGGCGTTTTCTACCTGAGAAACAATTGCTATTTTCTGCATTTTTTTTTTACAGAGGACGAAGTTTTGCGCATTTAATCAATAACTTTCCTTCTCCCGTAGTGGCACAACAATATTCTTTTTTCCAGTTCTGCTATATATGCACATTTTCACGATAGGAACCATATTGAGAAAGCTGTGGTCTGGGTTTAAAGAGGAACAGTGATTTTTCAGTTTTTAATATGTGAATTTACCTTTCTTTCCTTATATCGCTCTCCTTTGTGATTTAATCTTTTTATGGAGCTCGAAGTCAACTAGTGCTAGTGAAGCTCGGTTTTGACATTTTCATCACAAAAAGCGCAAAAATTTTAACGAAATCAGGGCTTCTGCACTCCAGATGTTTTTCTTTTAATTTACCACTGCTAACTTTGGACTCATTTTCATGCGTTCATATTCATTAAGATGGTGGAGGGATACATTCTCAAAAAAATAAACTGTCATTCTACCGTACTTCCAGGAGAAGCTCATGGATGTAATGAACAAGCCAGGTCATTTCAAAGCATAATGCGCGAAAATGGCATTTGTCTCGCGCAAAAATGAAAACTGTCATTCTACCGTACTTCCAGGAGGAGCTCATGGATGTAATGAACAAGCCAGGTCATTTCAAAGCATAATGCGCGAAAATGGCATTTGTCTCGCGCGATTATCACCGAGGCAACCGCGAAATCAGCCCTTCGCTACCTCACCTAAATTTCGCTTGTCTCCTTTTCTGACTGCTATTGTAGCGACACTAAATTTACAATGAATTGATATCCAATTTGGCACCCTACAAAATGAGGTCTTTCGCTCAAGTCTCTGATGGAGGATAAAATCGTCATGGGATGCGGAAGTTCAAAATACAAAGATAGTGCGCGAAAACCACCCCTTTTACCATAGGTATTCATGTACCAAGTTTCATCTTTCCACACAAGCTCAATACTCCAGGACAAAAAAAAACTGAAAACGTCGGCTCCCCATAATATGCCCCAAGGGCATGGATCTAATGTGTTGCATTTTTCCTGAACTCTTCATTCCGTTAGGCATGTCCATGCCACGTTTCAGCTTTCCATGTCACTCCGTTTTATTCACGCAACAGGACATGGAAGTGCAAGAGAAGCCAAAAAAGGCCTGAAATGGCCGGGAACTGAACCCAGGACTTCTAAATATCGGTCAGATGTGCTACCACAACAAAACCGAAACAGTGGCGTACTATGGCATCTCTCAATGACATCCTTATGAGTACCTTTTTTGTAAGGGTGAAGAACACATTTTCAAATACTTCCCTACTATAATCTACGCTAAGGGTGCATATTTCAAAAGTGTAATTTTTCCTGTACTTAGCAATCAAACCGGTACTTCTGAGGGAGTTTTAAATTTCCTGTTCCTGTTTCGTTGGATCAAAAAATAATTCACGAAAATGGGACTTAAAAAAATGTCCTGATTTAAAAAAAAAAAAAATTTTTTTTAAAATATAGACTCACGGAACTCCAGGCCACACAGTTTTAACCTTATACGTTTCCCATATTTGGTGGCGGTTAAAAATATATTTGGAAAAGCCCAAAAGCTGTCCTCTGAGAGAGGCTCAACAAAAGTTAAATTATTCCTTATATCAACATCACGTCCGTTATGCGTGCGCCAGCTACAATTTTTAGATTTCTGCCCGATTTGCTAGGATATTTAAAATTCTTTGAAAACGTTGCGCCCTCAAAAAAAAGTCCCCAAAAATTATTTTGTAAATTTGACATTTGTCATTTGAGCTGAGTGCTTCACCAGTCACAATCTTGCCATGTTACAGCTTTCCCTGAGTCTTGGTTCGATTGAAGCAAAAGAGAAATATTTGAAAATATGTTCCCTGAAAAGGTGTGCCTTTATAGCGTGTATCACCAAAGTGGAATTTTCCTGAACTCATCATGTGAATAGGTTCTTCTCAGTCAGTCAGCTACTCACGATCATCTATATATAATATGAAAGTAGAATTGTTTCTTTACTCATCTATTCATCAGGTACTTCTTTGTCAAGTTTAAACTTTCTAGCACCCTCAGTTTTGCTGGACCAGAAAATTCAGGAATATTTGCAAAATTTGTGCTCTCGGGCGTTTTAACCGAAAATTACCATTTTTACCTAAATCAAACCTCAGTGAACTACATGCCCACAAAGTTTCAATATTATACGTTTGCCTTTTTCGTTGGTGAAAAATCATGTTTGAAAATCCGACACACAAAAGCTAAGCCAAGAGGGGATGAACCATGAAAGGTGAATACTCTCTTAACTCAATAATTCCATAGCAATTATACGTGTGCCAAGTTTCACCTTTCCATTTCTGTCCAATTCGCCACGACAATTATGTGAAAACATCTCCCCTTGAAATTCATGCCCCCAGGGCATTTCATTAGAAAGGATGAATTTTTCTGCATGCAGCATCCTGGTTGGTAATTATGTACCAAGTTTCATCTTTCACACTAGCTCAATACACCAGGATAAGAAAAATACTTGAAAACGTCAGCCCCTAAGAATATGCCCCCAGGGCATGGATCTAATGTGTTACATTTTTCCTGAATTCATCGTTTCATTAGGCACGTCCATGCCACGTTTTAGCTTTCAATTTCTCTCCGTTTTATTCAAGCAACGGGACTTGGAAGGCAAAAGAAGAAAAAAAAGGCATGGCGTTGGTGGGAATTGAACACAGGCCTCCTGCTTATCAGCCCGATGTGCTACCACTACACCACCGAAACGAGATATCTCGAATAGTTTCTTATCCATCATTATATATATATTTTTTTAAACTTCTCCCCCTGAAATATGCACCCCTAGGGCATGTACCTCCAAAGTCGGATTTTTTCTGAATTCTGCAACCCAAAAGGTACATGTGTACCAAGTTTCAGATTTCTAACCTTTCTGGAACATGGTTAGAATTAGCGTCAGTCAGTCAGTCAGTCACGATCGTCTATATATATTAGAAGAACCGGATCAAAGCAGCTGACCATTNAGTCAGTCAGTCAGTCACGATCGTCTATATATATTAGAAGAACCGGATCAAAGCAGCTGACCATTCGCCTTGAAAAGAATAGGTTCTCCTAAAACAGTTTCTCGGGTGCACCAGATAAATTTCTAATTTCGTGTGAATTTTAGTAAACTCGGAAGGAAGGTTTTGTTCATGGTGAAGCTAATATACAAGGAACCAGAAATCTAATGTATGCTTTTTTCCCTGACAGCTTCAAATTCTCACCTTATAACTTCTCTACTCCATCATTTGTTTTTAAGCCGGAATGCTAAAAAAAAAAACAACCTTCTGTGTAACGGCATCTCGTGTTAGTTTTGATTATGGTACCCCATTAGACAACCAAATATTTACCGTTTTGTATACGTAGAATGGTCCGTCGAATTCTTTGGTTCATTATTTTAAAATATTTTGTTCTCAGAAAGACTTTCAAAAATGAACTTTTGATTGAAAAGGGTACAGTACGAGTTTGACGGCTTGTTTGGGTCTTTAGAATTTGCTTGGAACAGCCCGAAACTCGTTTGAATCCACCTGAACAGATTCTGAAAGCAAAATTCCAAATTGTTCGTTCGCTATAACATTGTATCGGGGATATTTGACTTTTGCGCATGCTTTCGCCATTCTGGGCCGCTGTGCATTGCGCTCCCGCTTTTCATGTCCAGTGAGGGATAAAACTGTGTCAATGTTTGACGCAGTTGGAGTTGATGATTCATAACTCGAGTATGACATGCTCATCCTCGTTCATGAGCATTTTCGAGGAAGAATTACTCTCCCCAATTGAGATAGATCGGCGAGAAGGTCATGATTTATCTACCAATTTTGGATACTTCCTAAGACATCAGTGAAGATCGATTAATAGGAAAATAGGAAAATCTCGATTAGAAGAAGAAATGGTATCCTCCTTGGAAGGATCCAAAGTGAATTCCATGTTGCAAGGGAACGAAAGAGTCTCACCATTAGGAAGATTTCATGATCATCAAGTCTCAGGAGGATGCTTATGTTGTCTTCGGGGTCTGGGAGACAGGGGATGGATACAACGCCTTCGTTTTTCATTTGTTTCCATAGGGTTTGATGCTCGATGAGGTTGTCAATGATGATGAGTCGAGTCCTGGAGCGAGAGATCACTTCAAGCAGCCAGTCGTCACTCACGTTGAAAGAGATGACGATGGAAGCTTCACATCCACGGAAGTCCTTGAGGTGTTTCACTTGGATATTAGGCCAAGTTTTCATTTTCTCTCGCAAGGGTATCAGCAGTCCCTCATCTGATACCAAGATGTGAGTCATTTCATTCATTGATTCGAAAGGCTTCGATCTCAAAAGGGAAGATAAAACATTCGCAGATATCCCACATGTGCTCCTTCCGTTGCAGATATACCCCAAATGTCTTCTCGAGCATTTATTGGCTTTGATGTCGACGTATTGGACGGGTGGGCCAGGGACAACGGAGGCTGGTAGAGTAGAGACGGACAGGTTCTTCGACTCCAAATTGAGAAAACTTGGAATTTCGTTTTCTCGGATGTGCGTCAGGAGAGCCAGGTTTGTCGGCTGTGATCGAAGCACTATCGCTGTGCAGTCTCGCCTCTCATGCAGCATTTCTACAACTCTGTCCACTGAGATATCAGGTGTGTAATTTGAATGAGGTTTGAAGGCGATGATGAGCCTTGTATTCATTTTTTTAATTCTCTCAACGGTGGTGACTGGAAACTGGTGGAAGATGGGACAGTCTTCGACCACCACAACCAGCGGATCTGGCGCTTTCTTCGTTCCCTCCTCCTTCTCTTCATCCGTTTCCTTCCTCCCATTTTCCTTATTCTTTCTTTTCTTTTTCACCTTTCCTTCCTTCGCAATCATATTTTTGCCCTTATCCTTCTCCATCTTCCTCTGATGAACTTCATTGAAAATTTTCTCAAGAGAATCGATTTCCGAAGTATTGACATCCACTATATCGACGTCGGCCTTCTTTTTCCAGCGTTGTCTGTAGAATTGGCGAGACAACTTTCCGCCGCAGTGGAGAACCATAACTCTGTCTGTCACTTGTGCAATCAATTTGTCTATTCTTCTGGATTTTCCCGAGGCTGGGTAGCCTATTATCCCTATGAGCGTATATTCCAGCATCTGTCCAAATTCTCCATTCTCCTCTCCTCCCCCATCCCAATCCATACGCACACTAGGGGAGGATTGCTGAGGGAATACCCCCTTTACGTCAGTCAAGTCTTTCCTTTCGTATTCCTGCAGTATGCTCTCCATTTTTGCTCTGAGGTCGACTTCATCAACCTTTCTCCTCTCGATATTCCACCCTGGATTTTCTTTTATAGCTTTCGGGACATGGGAAAACCTGCCCGTTGTCCACTCCTCTTCCTCGACAACGAGGATCTTGTTTTCTCCAGTGGACGCTATCAATCGATTATAATTTTTCCACTTCGACCGTGGGAAGTCGAGGACCATTGTCACGTTCCGAGGGTGGCACCCCATAATTTCCTCCTCGGTGACCACGACGAGTGGGAACAAACCCTCTGGGACTGGCATCCCATAGAAACCGTCATGAGAATCATCATCGGGCAGGAATTGGACAGGGAACTCGGGATATAAGTTTATGAATATATTCAGGAAAGTATTTCTTCTCCATATCTCATCAACAATGATGAAGACAGGCATTTTCTTTGATGACTCCCTGCATTCCTCATATAACGCGTGTGAGGCTCTCACACAGTCACAAATCATTTCATCCCTGCATTTGCGATGAAGAGCCTGACACGAGGTCATCGAGATGAAGCGAGGTAGGCATTCCCTGCCTAATTCGTCCGAATTTATTTTTAAGGAGTGCTCTGACGATACGAAGACACGGCGGGAGTAATTTCCGATGGTAGTAAACAGTTCAGATATATGCCTGGTATTCCTTTTCACACCATTGAGGACAGTAATGCTGTAGCCACCTGGTTTGACCTCTTCGAGCAAGAAATCCCTCGTGTAAGATTGGTCGTTGGGTCTAAAGCAGAGAGTGATTGACTGCACATCCAAGTTTGTGATCCACTCCCAATGGTCGGAAAGACCTTTAGCGGTGATGATACCAGGTAGTCCTAATGTGATGGGGACTTCATCAACGAGGACGTGCTTTCCTTTTCCTTTCTCTTCCAGGAACATTTTCAGTCCTTCAAGATCTTCTTCCAGTCCCTTCTCCCGTCCCTCTCTTCCATCAACAACCTCGATTTCTTGATGTGCAGCTGTTGCGACAGATTTGAAAACGTTTTAAGCCCTTCAGTCTTAGATTTTCGTCACGACGTCCTCATTTAGAGAAATTCAACCTGGTTTGGTTTTGAAATTTCAAGAACACAACAAAGCTGCTCCACTCTCCACATACTACTAATGAAACATTGTACTGTTAAATTCATTTATAGTTCCACTCAGAATCGTCACAAAAGCTGGAAAAGTTGAGACAGTGGTATTGTCACATACATGCATGAGAATACCATGATCTGCATCAGGCCAGTATATAAGGACTACATCAACTAGACATTTGATTTCCTGATTGGGATATATTAGCGGAGAAATAAGATGAGGTCTCTGTGTTTTCAAGGCTTACCGCACCTATAATCATTTAATTGCATTGATTGGAACATCCTTCGTTCCAACATATCTCCTGATTATTTTTCTGGAAGATGTATTCTGGTATTTCATTAGATGCTTCCAAAGAGACTAGGAACATATAATACAAATACCTATTAAATGCATATATTATTAATTGAGGAACAAATGATTATTTCGGGTCCCATAAAACAGAGTTTATACGTTGTTTTTCAATTTTATTCTATAAGCCATTGTATATGTCTCGTGACTGGTTGGAAAACTGATCCTGAAGTGATATGAACTGCATTTGTCCCTAATTGAGGCGATATGGTTTGGACCAGCGAAATCATTCAAAAATCAAGCAACAAATCATTCTGATATTAAGCTATCTGACAAGAAAGCACCCAACAGACAACAAATCTCGAACACAATTATACTCTCATCGCGAATCTGGTACAGAAAAGCCATTTGAAATTGTATTATTTGTATTACCATACTAGCCGGTCACGCCATCAGCGCTCATTCGGCTAGTGATTCATTAATTCATTTTTGAAGTGGCAAAAACAAAAAAGTTATGTGGCTGTATATGTGTCATGAGAGGACAAACCAATATTTTAATCGAATAATTACTCAGATTATTTATTGTACGCCTAACTTCGGACATATGTGAATAATTGAATTTGCACTCAGCAGTCAAACTGGAACTTCTGCTGCGAGTTTGAACTTTAGCTCTCTTTCATTGGATCAAAGAAGATTCTGGAAAATTCGCCTTTTGCTTAATAAAAAGGGCCATCATGGGCTTAACCTAGAAATTGATATTTTAAAAATTGAAATTAGCACTCGGAAAACTACTTGCCTACCAAGTTTCAGCCTTATCCATATTCTCTTTCTGCTGGTGCAAAAACATATTTGGAAAAGTAAACCCAGCCAAAAGCTCAGCTTTAAGGGTATGCACCACAAAATTTGAATTTTTCTCAATTCAACTTCACCCCAATTATGCATGAGCCAAGTTTCACATTTCTGTTTCTGCCCGATTCGCTAGGTAGAAAAAGTTATTTGAACCAGTCACCCTAAAATATATGCCCCAGGGGATGTATCACAAAATACATTTTTCCTGAAATCTTTGGCTCAGTAGTTACGTTCATGCAAGATTTAAACTTTCCTTGTTCCAATGTTTGACGGAAATAAGAAAAAAAAACATTGGAAAACATCTCCCTCTGGAATTTGAGCCCCCAGGGTATGCATCTAAAATGAAATTCGTGCAACTAGGGCATTTGCCTCAAAGTCTGCCTTTTTCTGGACTCAGTGTCCCAATAAGTAGATGTACAAACTTTCACCTTTCCATTTCGGTCCGATTCGCAAGTCAATAAAAAAAATTGAAAACATCTCCCCCCTAATTGGGTGCCCCCAGGGCATGTACCTCCAAAGTCTGATTTTTTTTTATCAAGTCTATATCCCAATAGCTAATTGTGTACCAAGTTTCAGATTTCTCACTTCCAATACCACTTCTCTCACCTGTGGTCTACTTATCAATTCGGTGACGCTCACATGTTACTTTTTCATAGGAAAGATTGGTTTTTACAAAGAAAGGTTATACCGGAATCTGAGTCAAAAATCGAACAAACAAGTTAAAGCTAAAATAGATCTTTAAAGTGAGTTCAAAATTAACACTTGAGGACAAATAGCTTGTATATTACACATGAAAATCTCTTGATTGAGCGATTCAATCAGCCTTTTCACGCACCAATACATAAACTATGGAAAGGTTTGGCATTTGACTAAGAAAATTTCAAGTTACCTTTAAAGTCATTTTGGAAATCTTCCGTGAGACCTCCTCCGGCAATATTCAGGACCAACACTGAACCTTTTTCCTTCAGATGTATAGCTCTTCTCTTTAGAACAAAGGTTTTGCCTGTCCCACTGACGCCAGTCAGAAGGATCACCCTTAAGTCACTATTCACCAGCTCCCTCTGTTGAGGAGTGAGAATCACAAGCATCGGTTTCATTTGCTCCTCACTCATAGCATACAACTGAGCGGAGCTGCGAGGGAGATCCACAGCTGATGCTGCGCAAGCGTAGATGTTGAAAATCGCCTTGAAGGTCTTCATGACAGAGGACTCCGGATTCCGATCCCAAGGTGCATCCAGCTTGATATCGTGTTTTGCCAAAAATCTCCTAAAACTTTCTGCGTCACGTAAATCTTCAAAAGTGATGATTCGCCCTCGGCAATCTCCGCACTTAATAACTTTCTGCAAATCAGACTCTCTAAGCGTTGGGAAGGCAACAAAACCAGCCAACTTCACGCATGAAATAGAAAATGTACTGCAAATTGTGCAAAAAATATTTATATCATTTAAAACCCGTTGAGTGGCCTGCTTCAGCAAATGAAATAGTGTGTTGGAATTTCCCTGTAAGTCCGTTCTCCCGATTTGGAAGAACAGCCCAAAGATGTTATTGCCAGTTATTCCAATTCCGAAAACATCATGGACACCTGATTTAAGGAATTCCTCTGTTACTCCTGACTGCCGGATGAAGTCAACTTTCTGCTTTTCATAGACGACCTTGAACAAGGTGTCTGTGAAGGCGTAGTCAGCAATGGTTAGGGAGGGAATATCCTTGAATGCATCTTTAATGCGATTGAATACCATGGTAATGGACTGTTGGTCTGATGGCATATCCACTTCCTCCTTTCCATCAAAAGCCACTGTCTTAAGCATATTGAACATTTTTTCCTTCAAAAGGTAACCCTCTGGTAAAGAGCAAGCTCTCGTATAGGCTTCAGGGTAGTTGTGGGCCACATATTCTTCAGTGACTTTCTCCATTTCCCTCTCGTCATCTGCTCCCATGTATATTTTGAGACTATTCCAAATGTTCACATTTCCTCTCCTCCCATAGACTTCCATGCGCCCCAGATAAGACAGTTCTTCGCAATCCTTGCATGCCTAGAAAAAATGTTTAAAGGCTGAACATCAAATTTCCTCTTCTCTGCTTGAGGTAAGAACTGATAGTTTAATATTTTTTTACTGAAACTTTGAGGAGCTTATTTCAGGGCTTGTTGCTAGAAAGGCGATAACTTTTCTAACATTGAAATTTCCATTTCAATATGAAGGACTGGTGTGCGGTCTTTTGTTGCCCGGCAGGGAAAGTACATATTCCATGAAACTCCAACCAGCAAACCAATTGAAGAAGAGCACTCACAGTAGTTGCTTCTTTTCCTCGGCAAGAAAGGTGATGGCCATTCGGTTCTTTGGGACATGAAATGTGTGATTTTCGTGGACATTATGAAAAAAGGACAAACCATAAATTATGTGGTATTCATCGCTACCTTAAAGAAATTCAAGAGCCGGTTACAGCGAGTCCAACCAGAAAAAGGCATGGAAGTTATCCTCCTCTCGCACGACAACGCAAGACTGCACGCCAGATCGCAAACCGTGGAAGGAATCACAAATCTGGGGTCGACTGTATTGCCCCATCCACCATACACCCCGAATCTCGCTTCTTCGGACTTTCATAAATTTTGTCCACTGAAGGGACCAAAGGGATTCTTTCCTGAAGGGATTCGTGGACGAAAGTTTCAGGATGATGACGAAGTTGTTACTAAAGTGAAATAGTGGCTCCGAGAGACAGGAGAGTAATTCCACCGACAAGGAATACTATCACGTGTTTCAAGGTGACGTACAAGTATACAGTAGATAAGGACGAAGAATAATTTAACAAATAGTGTATGTTAATAAGATGTGTAAGAATAGTTATGCCAATCTTCATCGTTTTTCAATGAATATTTCTTGATGAAGAAATTGTGGGGCAAAACTTTTTGAGTGACCCCCGTAGTTTGAAAATGGGGATAAATAAGAATATCTCAATTTGTGGCGTCGTTTTTCAATTTCGCATTGGGCTCATTCGACTTCGGAAAACAAACAATGGGTTAAAGGAAGCCTTTTTGGAATTATCGCTCTCCCTACATGTACCTCCCCCCTAATATAAGTCAACATGGCGAGAATTATTTTTACACCAAAGTTCAGCTAAGTTTAAAGTATCCAACCCGTCTGGAGTTAGTGTCAGTTCCATACGATCGTTCGTATATAGTACTATGGAGTTTGTTTGACCTTCGAGCAAACAAACTCGCTATGGTTCGCGCTCGCTATGGCGATGGTCGCGCCTTCGGCGCTCTATTACCTTGGTTAGTGATTAATTCATTCATTTTTTGCGAAATGGTAAACACGTATTTAAAGTATGTCCCCATTCGAATACGTGACATATGGTGACGAAGGCCATCATTTTTATCAAAATCTTTATTTCTTTCATTTCTAGTGTGAAACACCTCAAGTAGAAACCTTTTCATGTGTCCCTCTTTGTAAGAGTGGAGAATACATTTTGAAATACTTCCCTTCAATAATCTACGCTAAGGAGACATATTTCAAAATTAGGATTTTTCTTCTACTCAGCCATCAAACAGGTACTTTTGAGGGAAGTTTAAATGTTCTGTCTCTGTTTCGTTGGATCAAAAAACATTCAGAAAAATGGGACTGGAAAAAGTGCCATAATGTGTTTTAACGATTTTTTTTTCTTTTGAAATGTAGACTCAAGGAACTCCATGCCACCCATTTTCAGACTTATACTTTTCCCCTTTTTGCTGACGGAAAAATTGTATTTGGAAAAGCGACCCACCCAAAAGCGGTGCTCTGAGGAGACGTATAAAAATGTCTAATTTTTCCTTAAATCAACATCACGTCAGTGATGCGTGCGCCAGCTACTTTTATATGTCTGCCCAGTGAACTACATGCCCACAAAGTTTCAATATTATACGTTTGCCCTTTTCGCTGGTGGAAAAACATGCTTGGAAAAGCTGACCCACCCAAAAGCTATGCCCGGAGAGGATGCCCCATGAAAACTGAATATTCCCTCAGTTCAGTAATATCATGTCACTTATACATGTGCCAAGTTTCGCCTTTCCATTTCTGTCCAATTCGCCAATTTTTTTTTCTTCAAAATACCGCCCCTCGAAAAAATTACCCCAGGGGATGTGTCGAGACTCAAGCAAAAATAATGTTATGGTGGGGGAAATGAGTAACGGGACATGGAAGGCAAAAAAAGCCAAAAGAAATCCAAGGATTGGCCGGCAGTTAAACCCGGCCCTTCTGATTGCCAGTTAGAGATGCTACTACTACACCACCGAACCCAGAACATCCAGTTTATTCTCTGAATGCCATCCTCATCTGTCACAATATATATTTAAGAAAAACGTTCCCCCCCAAAAAAATATGTACCCCCAGGGCATGTACCTCCAAAGTGGGATTTTTTCTGAACTCGGCATCCGAAAAGGTACATGTGTACCAAGTTTCAGGTTTTTTAACCCTTTTCGAACATGGTTAGACTTAGCGTCAGTCAGTCAGTCACGATATATATTACAAGCAGACTCGCTATGAACGCGCCTTCGGCGAAATGAGCTTAAAATAATGTACTGTATTTCATATTTTAGGCATTATTATCAGGATTCTCATATCTACAAAGGAAGTAAAACTCTTTGGAATATAAGACACCATAGTACGCAACATGAAGCATGCGGAGATTCTTCATTTCCCCCGAGAGCATGAAATCATTTCATGACCTCAAAATTCCAAAATTCTGGAAGGCAAATTTCCACAGAAAAGCGTATTTAAAGAACTCGGAGTTTCCTCATGTTCCCGTTTGAAAAGAAGCTCAGGCAACAATTCGAGTATAATGTTGCCGTTCGATCTTACTACCACAGCTTCTTCAGCTATCATGGTATTATTTGAATGAGCATTTTGGGAACTAAATATCATAAAATATGATAAATTTACTATAAAAAATTGGCTTCATGAGCCGATCGCAGATTTCCAGGCATTTCTGAGCAATGCCAATTGCATCCTCGGCAAAATCATTGAGAATTCACTCACTTTTCTGGCAAATGGCACAAGATACCTCTTTCAAGTTCCTCAGATCTGTGGGCTTGTCCTATTAAAATAGCCTTTTAAGTAGCCACAAAAAGGGAAATCACAAGGGGCCAAAATTAGGTCGTGGAGGCCATTTTCCCTGGCTGACGATTCGGAATGCAACATTCCATGTGTTTCAAGTTGACTATGAAACAAGGGTTTCGTAAATGAATTCTCAGTCACACTATAGTGTAGGAAAAAGATATGTGGCACCATTCCGAGATGTGATGATGAACAACCAGCATAAGTAAAATAAGTCGATTCCTTCAGATTCAGTGAGAAAAGGTTTGAAAAAGAAAAATATGGCACTTCAAAAATAAATAAACTGACTCAAAAAAGAAACACAGAATTGAAATATGATTAAATTATGAGTACAGTTCAATGAAGTTCCAATAAATACCTGTTCATTCAAGTAGGGCTGGGCGATCTAAGATCTAAGATAAGTGTTTGACACCATTTTACTTTTCAATACGCACAATCTGTAACTGCTTGTGCATGAATTGATGTTATACTTTACAATCTAGTAAAATGCATAATGATGTTTACATTAAAAGGGCTAGGTTTTCATCAATGGGTAGGTAACCGTTGCAGTACTGTACATCCATCATGAATGCCGAGACACTCAGAGGCATATTGCAATAATGATATAAGGAGATTGGAAGCTGGTGAATCCCAGTCATCAGTCGCAAGACATTTTAAGGTGCACTGGAGTATTGTCTCAAGGTTATGGGACTGGTTCAAGCAACATGGTTCAACAGATGTCGGTCCACTCTCTCTCATATCGCTGTTTTTCTCAACATATGAACCGCGCTTCGTATCAAACTTTACTTTGGATGCTAGCACACATTGCATATCCAGACATTCAATGCCGAGAAGGTCAATGGTACTGGAAATACTGGTACTAGCCAGAAGAGCAATGGTCCGAACTGTACGGAAAAACGTAATATACGTAAAAATACTTCTCAAAAGTGGAGATATTGGGCTCAGAGGGAGAATTTCATGAATCGTGAACTTCTTCAGGTTCACATTTTCAAAATATGGTACCGCATTGATTATTTTTGCAGTAAGTGACACTTCGCATGTAAGACGTGGATTCTTCAACACAATATAACACCATCTAGGCCCGAAACCCACCTTCGTGTTGCTACATTCCTCTTTCTTGACATTTTGGAGACAGAAGTGGTCCCCATTTCCAAATTTACTCGAGTTAAGTAATTCGACGCATTCAAACAAAGGAGGATGCCAACTTTCCATAAGACTGCTGCCCCCACGTTACAAACCAAAGCAGGTGTCAATCGATACTTCTTAATGTGTAGATGAAAGTTGTCAATTGACACAAATTTGTCAGAGAATGCGATCATTGAGTTAGCCGTCATCAAAGTTCAAATATTTGGTCTCTAATTATTCTGCATCACTTAAAAATGTATTGATCTCCTATACCATTGGGAGAAGATTCTTTGAAAAGGACTCAATAAGACGGATTCAACAATGCCATACTCAAGTTTATAAGCCATGTGTATTACAAAATTAATAATAATTAAACCACTATACCGTCATTTGTTATGCATGTCGATGATTCTGCAGTCATTATTATTTAAGAAATAAAATGATATCAAATAGATTTTTCATCACTGATCTCAAATACTACGCAGATGTCGCTCAGCGACTTTGATGACACTTGAATTTTGGGTAGGAACCTGCCATGCCCGAGAAGTCAGAGCATTGTCATGATATGTCCACAGCACGCTACAGTCCTCTGACCATTTTTGCACAGACTATATTACCCGATTATTGCCTCGGCACCGGATTTTTCTTGATCTATTAAAATATATATAAAGTACTTTGACTACGGTGCCGAGACTGGATGAGGCTGCCGATTAGCATCGGGCACTCAGCTGAAATTATATGAGAACTAAGCGAAAGAGTTCCATGGTGCCTGCACAACTGAACCTCAAAGCTCCCATCAAGACATACATGTTCTGCATAATAAGCACTGGCTTGTTGCAGGTTATATAACCCTTGTGCTAAAAGCCGGAGGTAAGGTAAAGACAATATTGGCAATTCTCTCAGGGATTTGCCTTCCATTGCCTCAAAACTTGAAGACCTCCGGTTTAATCGCTGGCCTTCGACCAGCGAGGCCAAACGATTAGGCTCATCTAGATGTGAGAGCATTGACCTAATAATGCTCTCACCATCCTCATTGTCCGATTCGAGGCTTTCATGGAAATCATTCAGGATTGCAGCAATCCTGGAATCGTTCATCGTATGAGGGATGAATTTATTCGACCACACCTTGTCGAAGTACCAGACACATTGCTTCAGCCATCCCTTGACGGCTTCCACAACGAACGGGCAATTTGTTACAATGTGTGATCCGTTTGCCTGAGCATCACTCAGCTGTGAAGGGCCAGCTTCCACAACCTGAGGCATATAGACGTTGAAGCCCCGTTCCCTTAGTGGAGGGACAACGTCCCTAAAACCTCGATCAAAGAGGAAAACATTGTGTCTTTCAAAAAAGGAACAAGGACCTGCCCCATTACTAAGAAGTTGTTGCAATATTTGGCATCAGATGTGTTGCCAGTATAGGGGCCAAAAACAATATTACATGCCCATTTGCTGCAACTCCAATAAATGGTTTAAGAAGATGGCGATGTTTATGCATGCTCAAAGACTTCCTTTTGAAGCTTTCTGCATGTAGACATAGGTGCCATCCCAGATGTTTATTAACTTGTTTACATCTTGCCTGCAGAAAATCTCCTCTACCAAAGTAGTATAATGGCATAAAAGAGTCTCCCTGGCCAGCCTAGAAAGACTCAACTGAAGGGGAGAAGAAGAAAGTCCTTCCAAAGGGAATCTCTTACCTTCCCCATCATCAGTTCAGCTGTTGACCGAGGAATATTTAAAAAAGACCAGCCTGTCATTGGTTTCTCCAGTTCTTAGCTTAGCCAAAAACAGCGCCAGAGCGGTGTCAGGATTCATCCTCTCTTGTAAATGGAGAGATGATAGTACAAAGGAGAGTTCCTGGAACTGGCCTTTGGATAACCCAGTCCATTTCTCTACCAGCGACTCCAGATACTCCAGTTGAAACAGGTTGATCTTTCTTCGACAGAGAGCTTCCTAAGACTGTAAATATCCTCAACTTGAGCCCGATTACTGTAGATACGGGTAATCCGTCAGTAAAAGGGAGGGAATCCCATTAGCTACTCGAAAGGTGCCTAGCGCAACAACGCGACCTTTCGGATAAATAAAATCTTTGGTCGACCAAGACCATATTTCGTACCGCCTAAGGTACTATAAAAACATCTGGCGACACACTGCCAAACAAGCATAGTTTGTGAGTAGCTGCGCTCCGTATGATGCTGAGTTGTATTCAGACGGTGGTGTCTGAGCTTCGGACGGTGTTTTAGCATATTACATATTACAAGCATATTACAGTGAGTATGGCTTTTTACAAGTGCCTATTGAGACTGACAAACACAGTACTGTGACTTACATGACAATGTTGCATTCACTGGGTGAAGGAAAATCTTGAATATAGGGCAGTTCCAGAGTCATTAGGACAAAAGTCCTAAAAAAAAGTTTTACAAAAAATGTCATTCGACTCACTTTTCCGAGTAGTAAACTTCCAAAATTAGGATAATTCATTTCAAACTACAAATTCTATGACTAATTTCATTTCTGTACAACGGAAGAATTATGACGTAAAGAAAGAAAGATGATATATGGAAAACGGAATTAGAAGGAAGTAGCTCTGATACTTAATACTCTTAGCTTTACTGATGGCGAGTGTGAGCGACTCACCAGTAGGAAGTTTCCAACGACATCAAGGCTGTGGAGTATGGCTTCGTCGTCGATGTCAACGTCCTCCTTTGGCACATTCTGGACATCCACGTGCCCTTCTTCTTGCATTGCTAGCCAAACGTGCTCATGCTCTGATAAACAATCTATGATGTAAAGGTTTGTCCGACCTCTCGAGACGCTTTCTTGGAGCCATGAGTCTTCCACATTAACGGTAATAATGACACTTGATTCACACCCTCGAAAGTCTCTGGGGTGATTAAACTCTAAATTGAGGTTTTCGTAATCACTCGTCGCCTTCAGAAATCCATTCATTTTGATGTTAGAGACAAGCACATGCATAGAAGGTTGCTTATCAACTGGAAGATTTCTCTTTAAATATGCTACTAAATACTTGAAGCATAAGAAGGCACCCACAAAAGGCTTGCATCTTTCCTGTCCCTGACAAGGATAATACTTGTGATGGCCAATGCATTTATGAGTACATTTGAGATACTGAGGCTTAGGGCCTCCAAACCAAGCACATGGACGAGAGTCAGTATGGAGGGTTTTAGTTAGGAAACCCAATGGTGTGTGTGTCTCATTATTGGAAATATAACAAAGGAGCTGTCGGCTTGTATGGCGAGGAAAGTCGTTTTTGGGCTGTTCAATCAATGTCACATCCTCCTGATTGCGAAGTGAGTTCATAAGCTTTTTCATTGAGATTCTTCGACCGCCTCCTGCATGAGGTTGGAACACAACTGTCAGCATAAGGTTTTTCCTCCATTTTCTCAATTCATCTAGGGCCTGTGCCCATAATATAATCTCGTCATTGGTGTCGTAGGACTTGATGGAATAATCGTCGACATAACAATAGAAGGGGGCAGAGCGATATACCCATGTCTTATCGCCAACTCGATCGTCCTTGACGATTTCAAGGGGGGACAAAGGCTTTGATCGAACAATGTCCACTTGTAAATGGTAGCTCTCAAGGTATGCGCGTGATAATTCCTGACTTAGAGCACTCCCCATATGGAGCAGGAGGATGCTTTTCCATGCCACGCCTTTACGAGCGAGGCGCCTTATCTCAGTAAGTAATGCCAAACTTTTCCCTGATGACGGGGGCCCGAAGATGATAGTCAACCTGACTGGATGCGGATTTTCCTCTACAGATAGGTGGCAGTTTGCACCGAATTTCAGTGGAATGTCTTGCCAAACTGGGATATCTTGATGGCATTCTCTCTCATCGATATGTGCCATAGTTCCAAATTCGATCCTATTGCCATCCTTTTCCTCATTCTCCGATTTCTCCTCAGAATTAGTAAAATTCTCATAAACCGATTTCAATGATTGTTCCAGTCCGATTTTCTCAATGTAGAAATATTTCCCGAGTTGCAAAGATTCTTGCTCCACAACAATAATGACATTTTCGTGGCACGAAGACACTATGCGGACAAAATTCATCCACTTGCATTCCGGCAGATCCAGAATGATTATCACGTCATTTTCATGATATCCTAGAATTTGCTCACCAGTCACGACTAACAAGAAACGTGACGGTGCACCACCAACTTGATCCCATCTTCCAAGAAATTGTCCGCCTGTCCCTATAAACATTACCAGTTCTTTGGATATAGATATTAAGGCATTAACCAGACGATTTCGGCGATCAATATTGTCCACTACTACATATACCCGCTGTTTTGAAGCATAGGAATCCTTGCCCCAAATTTCCAATATTGCTTTCGAGCATCTGGACGCTTCACATGCCAACGTCTCCTCACGGGTATTATGGAGAGTGGAACAAATGGGGATTAGTTGTAGCTTGGGCATTATTTCTACCTGATCTGAATAGCAGAATTCTATATCCTGTATGGTTGGCTCATGACAAACAAAAATCCGATGGGAGTAATCTCCGAGAGCCAAGAATAATTTCGACACAGATTTTGTGTTCCTCATTACCACATTCAAAACATATATGCTGACGTCTCCAATCGTGATGTCTCTTGGATCAATATCTATGGCATAGGAGGGATCGTTCGGCCGGAATGCAATCGTAATGCTCTTCACATGCTCGCTAAGGCTGTTCAAGACCTGGTTCCAATGCTCCTTAATACGTATTGCATTGTAAGGAGCTTTGAATCCATAAGTGTAAGGAACTTCGTCGATCAGCAAATGCTTATGCAGTCCCTGGCCCTTGAGGAAGGCAAGGAATTTCTCGAAGTTTTCCGAAATTCCCTCTTCTCTCCCATCCACAACCCTAACGTGCATCACTCCTGCAAGTATATAGAAAAGCATTGCATCAAATGCCAACAAAACTCAGCCTTTATCGCCCTTCGGCTAATTATATTCCTGTGGTTTCATTATTAGTTTTCTACCTATTAGACCCGAGCATTCGCAATTAAAGTGAATATTCACGCACATTAATGAAGTCTAATCTTTAGTAATCATGATATCAGTGTGAAGTAAAGGGTACGAAAAGCATGAATCTAAACCAGATGAAGAGAAAATCTGGTCAAGCTAGAGTGAAAACAATTTCACTTTGAATTACTATGGTATTTTACTTATGCGCGAACCCACACACGGTGATCACCCACAATATTTTCAGTGCAGAAAATATTGCAGAAAAAATCCGAGAACCTTCCATGATACTTGGAAAATTTTCCAACTCCGGATTTTTGGAGATGATAGTTGCATTTCCCAATGGGTGAACATTTAAAAACTTTTATACAAAACGACCAGAAGCTGATTCAGGCACACATATGTGAGCAACATTACATGCGAATTTTCTTAATGCTTAAGTGATCTGGAGAACTGGTTCCAGTCCTTTCCCATGCCCACTGTTTGGTCCATATTATAATGGTAGAGTATGGATTGTAGCAGTCCTGGTTCTGGTTCAAGGGAACATTCTAGTTCCTCGAATGAGAATTGGTTTGTCGAGAGTTTCTTGAGAAGCTATGTATACCTGCAAGTTCACTTCTTTCGCTCTCTACACGGTGCTTCAAAACACATTGTGGCAAATCATGTTCGGTAATTTTCATCAGATTGGCGCAAAATTTTAAGCACTACTTCTGAATAAAGTAAAAGAGGTAAGTACCTAATTTCAAGAAAATTGACGCATCATACAACGTTATATGGCAGTTCAAACTTAAAAGATAAAAAAGTGTGATGTACAATAGGTTCGTCTTCTGACACCTACTTCTGGAGTTTGTACTCTGCGAAGCTTGCGCATCCGGCAACAATTACTTTCCATACTTCTACCAGCTTCCTGTTCTTGTTCTGCCAAGCGTGCTCGTCTCTTTCTAGTGGCATCCACTTCCATTCTCATTCTTTCCGAACTTGATGATGGAAATATCTCCCAAGAAAGAAAATACGGTCCACTCCGAAATTTTAAAGAAATCATCACTTATACGAGAAGGGGAGCACATTTATTATCTCCAGGAAACTCTTGGGGAATCTTCCTCGAACAGTTGAAGCATTCAGTTATAAGCATGAATAATAATGTCATTAAAATATTATTAAAAATCAATGCTCGTGCTCCGCCAGGCTAATCGCATTCGAGCGATACAGGTCTCCATGATTTTATTGAAGCTTAGGAAATCTTTACATTACGCTATATTCATTATGTGACAAAAAATAAAAGAATTTGCTACCAAATAAAGGCCCAGTGGGGAATAAATTCATAGAATATTTCCATTTTCCATATGCCTAAATTGGACAAGTTCTAAAGGACAAGTTCTTACCATGATCGAAAAAGGAAAACGTGAGCCAGAAAGAGCGAGACAGAGGCATCAGGTAAGAGAACTGGTCCAGGACCTACACCTATGCGTTGCATCCTACAAGTCAAAACTACTGATGAATGAAACAAGCACGACCACCCCCAACGTTGCAAGTATTTGAATGTTATTTCAAGAAATGAAAGGTCGTCAGTGTGCGAGTTCTACCTAGGCAAGATGGATACTATTTGTCCATACAACAGGTCCTTCAACTTTCAGCAAGCGTCTTACCACGAACACGTTTCTAAATGCTTCCGCAAAGGAAAGGTGTGGAGATGTCAATCCATTCGCTGCTGCCTACAAACGGATGCATGAAAGCGAACTTCAAGAAGGATGACGGATGCAACCCGTCCAAATGGTCTTTCGAAGGAACGCATGTTATGATCAATGGCATTACCGAGCTCCCAATGGTAGCTAGGTTGCAGCCTTTTTTTTGGGAGATGGAGAACGGCCATTCCAGGGTGACCTAGCCATCAAACCTAGCTCGACCTTACGAGTGTGGTGGCGACACTGAAGGCCGTAATTTAAGGCGTCATGGTGGGTGAAATCACAACATGTGGACTGGGCATTTTGCTTCATCTGGATTGGCAAAAAGTCTCCAGAATGAATTTGCACGTTGTTGCTGATCAGAAATGCTAAAAAATATACACTTCTATTCGGAAGGTTATGGCTACTTCCAAGACGAACTTTCGACCACTCTACACACGCTGGCCGTGAGTGGTTTTGTGACTTCCACATGAACAATTTCTTCCGGTATCTTCTGGCTTGCGACCGGCCCAATTCCCGTATCAAAATTCATTACAGACGAAGACGAATATCAATGACGCCTTTGTGGCCGCGCATCTCTTCAGCCTGTCTCAAGTCTAGTACAATCGTGTTGGACGAATGAGGTTAAATCCTACTGGAAACCTTCCAACTTCTTTTGGAATCCATGCCGCATGAACTAGCGACGGTCATTGAGGGCAAAGGGGACTCGAACCGCAAGGAATCTGGTTCATAATAAAGTAGTCAGGTATTGCACACTGGTGTATATTGGTACTTGGGACAGAGAGGAAGAACATCGCCAGAGACTCATGTCATATGTTTTTCTCTTCTCAGAAGTTTCTATCCTTGGATGTTATGTATGAATTCTATGAAACCAGAACTATACCTCATAGAAGGCATGAAATGCCAATATTCCAAGACCTCCGAGGTGGGAAGAATGTAGGAACAGCTAACAGAAGCCATGAGACACAAGCTACTCGTTAATTTAACGATATGAAGAGAGATTCAGAAGTAGAAATTCAGAGAATGAGAGAGAAGATCCTGGGTCGGACATGAATTTTGGGAAGTCAGATTAGGCGTACATCAAGTCCTGTAAGTAGCTGATTTTTAGTGCCTTCAGAAGCATTTTATGGCTTTCTTTATGATAATTTTCTTTTGTCTTTTTGTGCATTTTTCTTTCTTTAATGCATATACTGTAGTATTCTGTTATGTCGATTCCAGTGTCAATCAGTGTGCCATTATTCCTCATACAGATAATTACTTGCAAGTACATGTCATTTTAGACTGAATATAACTTCCATTGTATTAGTGTTGTATGCAACCGGTATTCATTTAAACACTAGCATTGACTACAAAAAAATTGAGCGCCAAAGTTGCGCATCTCTACCGTTCCTTTGTTTCCCACAGTTAAGCAATCTAATGTGGAATAAAAGCATAATTTCTACTCACCTCTGAAGTATTGTCGAAATTCCCTTGTCAAATGTCCACCAGCTACATTGATGACCAATACTTCATCTTTCCACGCCAAATCCAAGGCCCTTTTCTTCAGAACGACAGTCTTACCAGTTCCACTACCTCCCGTCAGGAATATGACCTCATCATTGCTCGTCACTAATTCTCTCTGTTGTGGAGTGAGAATCATGAGCACGGACTCCATCTGTTCCATGCAGCAGTCCATTAACTGAGTGGGGTTGCGAGGGACGCTGACAGTAGATGCAGCACAGACATAGAGGTTGAATATGTCTTTGAAGGCTGTGATTTGGGTCATGGAATTCCCTCCTGTGACCTTTTCTAATACGATATCGTGTCTTGCCAGAAACATTTTGAAACTTCTAGGGTTAAGCAAATCTTCCGAGGTGAGGATTCGAGCTCTGCAGGAACTACATTTAATAAATTTATGCAAATGGGATCTTGCTAGCCTTGGGAGAGCTGCGAAGCCCGCTAACTTCACATTTGAATTTAAGAATCCACCACATAAGGTCCGGAAAATATTGACGTCTTTCTTGATTTGCAGCATTGCCTTTCCAAGGGAATCGAGGACTGATTTTGGGTTTGCCTCAGATTTTGTTGCTTTCACTTGAAAGAAAATCCCAACTACGTCCTTGCCAGATATCCCAATGCCGAATACATCATGGTCACCAGGTCGCAAATCCTCTTCACTGATTTGGGATACTTTTATGAGTTTTTTCATTTTCTCTTCAGTGATACCTTTGAGAAAGGTATCTGTGAAGGCGTAATCACTCACTGTGAGTGATGGCACCTCTTTAAATGCGTCCTTGAGGCGATCGAACACCATGGCAACAGAAAGATGATCCCATGGCATATTGACATTTTCGCATTGCAAAGCCTGTCTCTTCAACTGGTTGAATTTCTTCCTACTCAAAATATATCCTTCGGGTAGAGAATAAGCTTTGCTATACGCTTCAGGGTAATGCATGATCACGTAGTCATCTGCAGCTTTCTTCAGGGATCTTTCTTCGCATGCTCCCATGCGTATTTTGAGGTGGTCACGAACATCCAAGTTACCATTCCTTGTGTAGCTTCGCAGTCGACTCAGTTTCAAAAATTCTTTGCATTTCTCGCACGTTGATGGAACCACCTAGGAAGAAATAATAGTAAAATCTATGACTTCCCCAAGAACATGAGTAGTTGCGTCGTAGGTGTCTACCCTAGGATTCATGAAATACATTTAAAGTAATTATATTTCATACTAGCGAGTTTGTTTGCTCTTCGGGCAAACAAACTCGCTGCGGTCGAGCCTTCGGCTCTCTATTACCTTGGATAGCGATTAATTCATTTATTCTTTGCGAAATGGCAAACACTTATTTAAAGTACGTCCCATTGGAATACGTGACATAGTTTGTTTTCCAGAACAAACTCGCTATGGTAGCGCCTTCGGCGCTCTATTACCTTGGATA